TACGTACCCTTCGCAGTGCCCATGTTCTGGTTGGCAGTGCAATGAGCCCTCTAGATCATAACACACTATAACATTTACAATTTTGATATCAATCTATAAAATTTACAGTTGATCAAATCTCTATCCTTTAAAATATATTACTGAAGGATACTGGGAATTTACACTTTGGTTGAAATTACCCTTAGCAGTTCCCATGTATTCTAGCTGCCAGTGCAGCGACTACATGACTCTATGTAAATTGTAGTTTATATTACACAGTTTGGTTATATGTGCCATTGGTAGTGCCCATGTATTCTGGCTGGCAGTGCAATGAGCCCTCTCGGTCATATCAGCCTACACAGGGCATTTAATGAGCGCCGAATTTGGGATAATTACATGTCATAAAAGCATCGCTACAAAGAAGTTTAGTCTGCTCCTCTGTGCATTAAACAATAAAACACGCCGCATAATTGTCTCATTATTATGATAATCCCATTGGCTCCCTCTCAGAGAAAAGTCTGAACATCTGATCTAAAAAATGATCCCAGAGAAATTACAAAAGGAAAAAAAAATAATGTGCTGGGGAAGAATACAACTTGTACACTGCTAGGAGCTGGGAAGCACAGATCACAAATATTATCTGCGTGTAAAAGGACACGAGAAGAATAATACCAATACAAAGGTAGTAGTCAGAGTAGTAAAAATGTATAATAATAAAAATACCAACAATAGCAATACAAATATTAATAGTAGTAACAGTAGTAGTAATAATAAGATTATCTTTTTATAATTAGTATTATTATAATTACTATTATTATTGTTGTTAAAAAATAAAAACCTCCTTGCAAAATGAAAAACAACAGCAAACAAAACAAAAACTGTACCGCTATTTTGTCACATAGATATGATTATCATAACAAGGAGAATATTTGAAAATTATTTTATCTACATAAATAGGGAAATGATTACATTTACCGAGATTTTCAGTCATTCGTTCGATGCAGTCATGTATGTAATAATTATGAAATAAAGAAAGAAGAGGTAGGTTTGTCAGGAAGGGTTGGGTTGTCTATTCATGTCGTTCATCTGAGTCCCACAAGAGAGCTCATGTCACTCCAGCAGAGTTCAGGGCACATTCAGGGCAAACGGAGACCCTTTACATTCTAACTTCACTGCACAGGAATTTACAGGCAATAACTGCACATTTGTCGGCATGAAATATATTGATCTTAAAAAAATGGTACGAATTGTGTATTTAAAAATAAATATTTTTATCTTCACAAACACATTTTCTAGTATCATGTTCTTTGAAGAGGATTGTGGCATTGCATTACTAAATCCTCCTAAATACTAATTTAAAGTGATCTGCTTCCACATATCTATTAGTAAACAAGAAATAATTGGATGCTATTAATTTTATGGTATTCTGAGAATTTATTTGATCTAGGGTGGCTTGTCCGATCATTAGGAGGGAAATACCGGGATATAGACAAATGACAGGAGCTACAATAATAGACTTGGGTTGGAAATGGAGATTAGTAGTGGAGATAAAATCATGTGAATGGAGGCAGGTAAGTCTTGCCCCAAGGGCTAACAATGAGGTAGACATGGGCTCAGGATCTGGATGGGGAAGTAAGACTTGAGGGAGAGGTAGTCATCTGAATGGAAGGAATAAGGCTTGTTCCCAGGGATGGCAGTGGCAGGTAGATATGGGCTCATGGTTTCAATGGGGAGAAGTAAGGGCTTGTTCCCAGGGCCAGCAGTGACAAGACATGGGCTCTTGATCTGAATGGGGGGAGGAAGCTATGTTCCCAGGGCTAGAAGTGACAGGACATGGGCTCTTGATCTGAATGGGGGGTGGAAGCCATGTCCCCAGGGCTAGCAGTGACAGGTGGTCCTTGATCTGAATGGGGAAATGTTCCTAGTGCTAACAGTGATAGGTGGGCTCATTGGGAAGGCCAGTAGATGGTACCTGTACTCTGGCCTCTGACAGTCCCAGCCTCTGGCTCTCTCTTCCCTCATGAAGGCATCAGGGTAGTGGGTCTCATCAAACAGCCTCTCCAGTTCGTTTAGTTGCTCCAGAGTGAAATTAGTCCGGCTCCTTCTCTGCTTGATTTTAGTCTGGCCCTCTTCTTCCAGCACCTTCAGGTCCTCCTTCCGTTCCTTCATGTCTGGGGACACTGCATACAAGAGACACTGGTGAGCGCCCTGCTGTCACTGGATCCAGGTGACAACTCTCACTACAAGACAATTCCCTTCCCTTTCATAGAACACACAACTACTATTGTGGATTGCAAGCCTCCAGATCCCTGTACTTATAGCTATCCCAGAATAGATCAATTACTCGCAGATAATCAGTACATCCAAACAGCACATAAACTAACAGATTATCCACTCAATAAATGACAATCAGCATGACTAGATCATTGAAAGGGCCAGAGAGTGAGACACTGCAATCCAACCCCCTTTTAGAAATTAACATCCTACATCACACTTCATGGGCTGGGAGGCAATCCACACACCTACCCCCATCAGACAGAAGGCCAGGTACACTAAACTTAATCTACACAACTACCCCCATGTCATAAGACTAGGTATGCAGAAAGTAAATCTACACAACTACCCCCACATCATAAGACCAAGTATACTGAAAATGAATCTACACAACTACCCCCACGTCATAAAACCATGTATGCTGAAAACTAATCTACACAACTAACCCCATGTCATAAGGTGAAACATACTGAAAATGAATCTACACAACTACCCCCATGTCATAAGACCAGGTATACTGAAAATGAATCTACACAACTATCCCACATGCTATAAGGCCAGATATTTTGAAAATGAATCTACACAATTACCCCCATGTCATAAGACCAGGTATGCTGAAAATGAATCTACACAACTACCACCATGTCATAAGGCCAGATATACTGAAAATTAATCTACACAATTACCCTCATACTATAAGTTCCAGTATACTAATAATGAATCTACACAACTACCCCATGCCATAAGGCCAGGTATACTGAAAATGAATCTACGCAACTACCCCCATACTATAAGGTCAGGTATACTAAGAATGAATCTACACAACTACCTCCACACTATAATGTCCGGTATACTAAGATTGAATCTACACAACTAACTCATGACATTAGGCCAGGTATACTGAAAATGAATCTACACAACTACCCCCACACTATAAGGTCTGGTATACTAAGAATGAATCTACACAACTACCCCCACACTATAATGTCCGGTATATTAAGAATTAATCTACACTACTACCTCATGACATAAGGCCAGGTATACTGAAAATGAATCTACACAACTACCCCCACACTATAAGGTCTGGTATACTAAGAATGAATCTACACAACTACCCCCACACTATAATGTCCGGTATATTAAGAATTAATCTACACTACTACCTCATGACATAAGGCCAGGTATACTGAAAATGAATCTACACAACTACCCCCACACTATAAGGTCCGGTATACTAAGAATTAATCTACACAACTACCCCCATGCCATAAGGCCAAGTATACTGAATACATAAAGCAAGGTACACTGAAAATAAATTTACACAACTACCCCTATGTCATAAAGCAAGGTATGCTGAAAATACATTTACACAACTACCCCTATGTCATAAAGCAAGGTATGCTGAAAATACATTTACACAACTACCCCTATGTCATAAAGCAAGGTATGCTGAAAATACATTTACACAACTACCCCTATGTCATAAAGCAAGGTATGCTGAAAATACATTTACACAACATACACAACTACCTATGTCATAAAGCAAGGTATGCTGAAAATACATTTACACAACTACCCCTATGTCATAAAGCAAGGTATGCTGAAAATACATTTACACAACTACCCCTATGTCATAAAGCAAGGTATGCTGAAAATACATTTACACAACTACCCCTATGTCATAAAGCAAGGTATGCTGATGCTGAAAATACATTTACACAACTACCCCTATGTCATAAAGCAAGGCATACTTAAAATAAATTTACACAACTACCCCTATGTCATAAAGCAAGGTATGCTGAAAATACATTTACACAACTACCCCTATGTCATAAAGCAAGGTATACTTAAAATGCATTTACACAACTACCCCTATGTCAGAAGGCCAGGCATGCTGAATTTACATAATTACCCCGCGTCATAAGGTCAAGTATACTGACTCTTAATCTACAGAATTACCCTCATGCCATAAAACCAAGTATACTGAATTTACACAATTACCCCCATACCATGAGGCCAGGTGTTCTGAATCTGGATCTACACAACAACCCCCATGATCAGGTATACTGAATTTAAATCTACAAAACTCTCCCCATGCCATAAGGCCAGGTTTGCTAAAACTGAATCTAGACAGCTATTCCCACATGAGGCAGGTTAATATCCCATAACTAAATCAAGCTTCCCTTTTCTTTCTACTAGGGCCATTTCCCCCCATACAAGCTAACCAGTTATTAGAATGACACTACTAACAAATAAATGCATACAAGAAGGATAGATAGGTCTAAATTAAATCTAGATCACTGTGTTCATGCAAGATGGTCAGTCACTGTAAACGAATCTCCCAAGAGAACCAGTATTAGAACTGCACATCATACTAGTCATTACACTTGTACATAAGAAGACAGCGCTGGGGAGCAGACAGGAGGCAGCGCAGAGTGCGGGGAGCAGCGGAGCGGGCGCTGATCGGACACGTGGAGCAGCGTCTAGCCTGCAGCCTGGGAGCATTGCCCGGACGTGTGCTGCTCATCACTGGGCACATTTGTTTAGGAAATGATTTCCGGGAGCCGCTGGAAGCTCAGTTCCGATATGCCAACGAATTCTTATTTGAACAAAGGTCTGAGATAAACAGATCCACTGATTACATCCGTACATTCCACCGTGCCCGTGCAGACATTCAAATAACACGCTGCTCCTCCTATTTGATTAAACAAATGCATGGATGGAAATCTTCCTATCATTCATGTCCATGTATTTATTTACTATTCAACCTTCTTATCATTGTCTTGACGGGAATAAAATAAATATGTAGTATATACACGATTATATATATATATAAAATATATACACACACACGCACTATCTTGTTCTAAAGTTCTAAAAGGAAGCACTGAATATATATTTTTTATATTGGTCACCAGTACATGAAGCTGTGTATATTTGTACTATAGGAATATAGGAATACATTTCTATATTATCGAATTTGATAGGCAATTATTAAATGTACTATTAAATTATTAGTACTTAGACATGAGTATTGTACTAGAGAAATGCACATGTACACTATCCATTTCTATAATAATTTAATAAATATTTTTCACATTAATTGTCAGTGTTTAGAGCTGTGTAAATATTGTATTATACTAATATATATATATATATATATATATATATATATATATATATATATATATTTCACTTCAATGTCATAAGTAATAAATATACTTAGAGCTGTGCAAATATTGTATATATTGTAATATATATATAATATATAAAATCATCTTATCTAAGTAAAATAAATGTATCCTTTATATATTAATTATCAGTACTTAGATCTGAGTAAATATCAATCGAAACCATGCTGAATTTATATTAAATATTCTAATAATTGTCATTATAAAAGTAAAATGTACCTTTCTTACAAACAGACGATCTTGATTAAAAGATCCTAATGATATAATTTTTAGTTACAAATGCTTAGATTTTAATGTTTGATTCTGCATACAATATTGTCAGTGAATTAATAGGCAGAATACATAGTAGTTTGAATATATAATACTAATTTCACACAGCCTTGACACAAGGATAGGTATTTTTTGTTTTAGCCATGTGTCTGTCATTTCCAAACCTCACTAGACTCAGCTGAAAATAAATGTCACTTTTTTTCTAAATGCAGCCTTCTTATCCAGGAGTGTTACCTCTGTGTACTGAGCCTATAGACTGAATAGCAGTAAGGATTAGGGATGCGCTAATTGTGGAGTGTAGCAATGAAGTGTGTCTAGCTAGTAGGCATCCTTCAATAGCTTGATCGCTGTCAGCACTGTAGTATTCCTCTTACAGCCCACATCCGCAGGACAGGAGAAACATTATTATCGTGTTACTAATAGAATTAAAGTTCACTTGTGGTCAGAAGTGTGCTGGGGGCTCTCTCTTCTGATCAATGGAGGGGGGAGGGGGGGGGGGAGACCCTACTTCTAGTGCTCCTGTGACCCTGGTAATGGTGGATTGCATTGATTTCACTCCACTTTTAACTGGTGCTCGCCTGTAGAAAAGTCCCTGTATTAGTAATATGACTGAGGGCTGTGTGTAAAGTGCACTCTGTGGACGTGTGTGTACAAAGCCCTACACTGCTGCCCCTCTCTGCACATATGGCATAGTAAATAATGCATGGGATGGAGCTGATGGTTCAATCCATGTGTTGTTTTATAATGGATGGGGTGGTCAATCTGGGTGTTCCTTTGGGTAACTTTTCATTGCAAGTAATATAGATACGTGTGTGTGGTGTGTGTCAGAATATATATATATATATGTGTGTGTCTGTGTGTGTCTGTGTGTAGATATATAGATATACATAGATATAGATATGTCAGAACCTACAAAGTGGATGTGGATAACTTAATTACAAATATCAAATATATTAGAATTTTATAGATGAATAGATATATCAGAGCCTACATAGTGGATGTGGATAACTTCATTACACCTATTAAAGATATGCAGTATAAATATATATCTCAGAACCTACATAGTGGATGTGAATAACTTCATTACAACTATGTATCTATATCTATGTGTGAGTTTATATACATATATATATATATATATATATATATATATATATATATATATATACATATGAACCACACACAGTGGATGTGGATAACTTCATTACAACTTATACTATATATATATATATATATATATATATATATATATATACACACACACATCTCAGGACCTACATGGTGGATGTGAACAATTTAATTACAGCTATACATCTCTGTATGTATATATATATATATATATATATATATATATATATATATATATATATATATACACATGAACCTATTTAGTGGATGTAAATAACTTAAGTACAACTATATATCTGTATCTATCTATCTATCTACGCCTACATAGTGGACGTGGATAACTTCATAATATCTATATATCTATATATGTGTGTGTATAATATATGTGTGTATGTATATATATATATATTTATATATATACCTACATAGTGGATGTGGATCACTTCTTTACAAGTATATATTATCGTATATATTAATAATATTAATAAAGCTACTCCGTAGATGACTGTGAGCAATCAGTGTTCAGCAGAATAAAGAGAGGTGCAGAGCTAGTTACCCTCAGTGAGTTTGGGGCTCCCCGGGTCCCTGATCCTGTCGGCGGTCAGTTCGAGCTCCAGGACCGGCGATCTGGTCCCTCCTCCGCCTCCTCCTCTCCTCCGCCACCCCCTCCTACCCCCCCTGGCCACCGGTATCCCGTCCTCCCGGGCACCATCCCCGCCGCAGCCGGGCTCCTTCCCCCGGACCGGGCCGCTCTCCAGCACCTCCCGGTAAGTGATCATCTCTTTTTTCTCCTTTATCTTCTGATCAAACGACTTGGACACAAAAGCAGTAAGTTCTTCCATGGCCGCCGATGTAATAACCTGGCAGCTCTTCCTTCCAGGCTCCCTGAAAAGCTCAATCAGAAGACATCAATGGGGGCTGAGCAGACAGAAAACCCCACTCAATCTCCCCTCGTTAGAGATCTTTGTCAATTCTTCCTGCTAAGAGTTTCACATCAGATAGGGATGTGCTATTGAAGTCGCAGTATTTATACTTTGCAAAGCCTGCCCCTTGTTCTCAGCAAATTACCTCCCCTTGGAAGTAGGAGAAGAATCCCCCCTTTCTCCCTTGTAGCATCCTAGCAGCAGCAGTGCCAGATCACTGGAGCCCTACAGGTTCCCAGATCATTTGTGGTCAGGTTGCTATTGGCCATTAATCCCCCGGATTGACAAGAAGCCCTAATTAATTTAGTTAAAGCCTCGCTGTGTGCAGGGCTGAGGGAGACACAGGGGAGATGGGCAGGATCAGGGAGGGGCCACAGGCAAAAACTGGCATGTGTCAGGGGAACAAGCCCTCAGCCCAACCGGGTCCCTGCCTATTACATGGCCTTAGCTTCTCCATTAACCCATCACCATCCGATATAAGGACTGCCATCAACCAGTGCAGGGTTAAAGGCCAGTGACCCAGGTCATTGGAAGATCTGCTCTCATCAGTGCAACATTCAAAACAATCAACCCAGCATGCAAACTTTGTATTCTGCCAATGACACCATTGATTGAGAAATTCGTGCTGTGGTCTTGGGTTTTTTTTTTTTTTTTTATTTAATTCTGATCGATCAGTGTGCTCGTGGCTTGACACCTTTAAAATTAATGGGATTGTTGTTATTATTATATTGCAATAAGGACACCGTGAATTATATTATGTACAAAACATGTAGGAAATAACAATTACAATATCCTTTGCAGATTAATTGTAAAAAGGGATGCTAATATTAATAGGAATTTGACAGTTGAGATGGCTCTGCTTTGGCTGGGAGGTGCTGCTAGCACTAAGGGCAATCCTTCTACTCAAACAAAGTCATTTTTAATTTGGCTCAGTCATCTGCTAATATGTAGATTTTTACAAATGTGAATCTTGTACAGTTTATACATCATGCATGGACAGTTAAGCAGTTCCCACCTGTCCATTATTTTCATTTTGTTTTTATTATTTATTGATTTCCAGACTTTTGATCTTTGTAAATATTGAAAAGGTAAGAATGTATCTATGTTCAATAACACAATTCTCAATACTTGGCTAATGAATCAATTAAACGGGCCCCAATGTCAGAGTTCACTCTAGTTATATGTGTACAATAACGTTTATGTGATCTGTATATTTATTTCTAGGCATTCGCACACAAGATAGATGTGTTGTGTTTGTATATATATATATATGTATATATATATAAATTCTTATCCCACACATCTAATAATGCACATGTAAACGAATAATGCTAATATAAAACACATTATTTAATGGGTTTTTAATTGCTTAATGAATTGTAATATAGAAAATGTGTAAGAATAGAATAGAATGCAATAGAATATAGACCAGAATATATATATATATATATATATATATATATATATATATATATATATATATATATATATATATATATATATATATATATATATATATATATATATATATATATACACACACACACATTTTAATGAAAACAAATAATTTTTTTCTCCATTATTTTTAAAAAAAATACGTATAAACATTATGTTCTCTTTCAGTATTTTTTTTTTTTTACTTTACTACACTTTTACTTTATTACTACACACTAATAGGAAGAATTTCTGGAGAATTGCAGGAGCTGCTGTCAGGGAAGAGTATTGATTGGGGAGAGACATGGCTTGTAATCCTGCCCAATGACATGATACTGTATCCAGGACCAGTATGAAATGGGGACATACATGACCTGTCACCCTCCTAAGTGACTTGTCACGTTTCTCAGTGACATGACATTGTACCCATAATGAGTACTGAGTGGGGACCAGCATGGTTTGTCACCCTCTTTAGTGACAGGACACTGTATCCATAATGAGTGCTAAGTGGGGGCAGGCTTGATTTGTCACCCTCTTTATTGACAGGACACTGTACCCAGGAATAGAACTGAGTGGGGCATATATGATTTGCCACCTTATTCAGAGACAGGATACTGTACCCATAATAAATACAGACATGGCTTATCATCCTGTTTAGTGACAGAACACTGTGTCCACGAAAAGAGATGAGTGGGGACAGAGATGGCTTGTCACCCTTCTCAGTTACAGGACACTGTACCCAGGATGAGAACTGAGTGTGGATAGACATGGCTGGTCACCCTCCACAGTGGCAGGAGTACCCAGAAGAATTGCAGGGTGGGGACACAACTGACTTGTTACCCTCCTGAGGAACAGACTACTCTACCTATGAATAGTGCAGACTGGGGACAAAGATGGTTTGTCACCCTCCTCAGTGACAGGACAATGTACTCAGAATGAGAACTAAGTGATGACACACATAGGTTGTCACCCTACTCAGTGACAGGACACTGTACCCAGGAATAGTGCAGACTGGGGGCAGAAATAGGATGTCACCCTGCTCAGTGACAGGATACTACCCATGATGAGCGTAGATTGGGGACAGACACCGGATGTCACCCTTCTCAGTGACAGGAAAGTGTACCCAGGGACAGTGCAGATTGGGGACAGAAATAAGATGTCACCCTCTTCGGTGACAGGACACTGTACTCAGGAATAGTGCAGATTGGGGACAGAAATAAGATGTCACCCTCCTCAGTGACAGGACACTACCCAGGAATAGTGCAGACTGGGGACAGAAATAAGATGTCACCCTCCTCAGTGACAGGACACTACCCAGGAATAGTGCAGACTGGGGACAGAAATAAGATGTCACCCTCCTCAGTGACAGGACACTACCCATTATTAGTGTAGATTGGTGACATAAATAAAATGTCACCCTCCTCAGTAACAGGACACTACCCATGATTAGTGTAGACTGAGGACAGAAATAAGATGTCACCCTCCTCAGTGACAGGACACTACCCATGATTAGTGTAGATTAGGGACAGAAAAAAGGTGTCACCCTCCTCCGTAACAGTACACTACCCATGATTAGTGTAGACTGAGGACAGAAATAAGATGTCACCCTCCTCAGTGACAGGACACTACCCATGATTAGTGTAGATTAGGGACAGAAAAAAGGTGTCACCCTCCTCCGTAACAGTACACTACCCATGATTAGTGTAGACTGAGGACAGAAATAAGATGTCACCCTCCTCAGTAACAGGACACTACCCATGATCAGTGTACATTGGGGACAGAAAAAAGGTGTCACCCTCCTCCGTAACAGGACACACCTAGGAATAGTGCAGATTGAGGACAGACATAAGATGTCACCCTCCTCAGTGGCAGGACTCTGTACCCATGAATAGTGCAGATTGGGGACAGAAAAAAGCTGTCACCCTCTTTAGTGACAGGACACTACCCATTATTAGCATAAATTGGGTACAGATACAAGATGTCACCCTTCTCAGTGACAGGATACTGTACCCAGGTATAGTGCAGATTAGGAACTGAAACAAGATGTCACCTTCCTCAGTGACAGGACACTACCTATGATTAGCAAAGATTGGGAACAGAAACAAGATTCACCTTCCTCAGTGACAGGACACTGTACCCATGAATAGTGCAGATTGGGGCAGACATAGGATGTCACCCTATTCAGTGACAGGGCACTGTACCCAGGTTGAGAACTGAGTGGGGACAGATAGCTTGTCAAGCTGGCACACTTCTGTTATTCTAACAACTTTTCCTACCAAAGAAATACAAAAGATCGATATAATCATAGTTCACAAAGGTGCAAATAAATATATCTCTTCTTTGCTAGTCTCTCTAATATTACATTCTGTACATACATGTCCGGTTATTTACCAGGACGTCAGTCCCTTTCTTTTATAATCACATTACACTTTAGGAAATTCACCATATCTACATAGACAATGTATGGATCATTTTCCCAAGACGAATTGTACGGATTATAGATCAGGACTACAAAATGTGAGAGATCTGAGCATCGCTGTATGTGACAAGGCGTTCATTTAGAATCATTTCACCAAACAGTGCAAAAAAGTTGCCGAATTATTGTCCAAACAATGCTACAAATAACAACATTAACAATGATAATAATCATAGTAATAAAAATGGTAATAATAATAACAATAATAATTGTTGAAGGGCCTGCATGCGTATAACTAATTGACAAAATACACACATCATTGCAAAAGGGAGGAAGCTGTTCTAATGAGCTTACAATCTAACCTAATATACCTGACCAGTACTGTGAAGCAGACACACATATTGGTTATCGGTGTAATATAGCACAGAGATAGAAATGTCATAGGGGGCAGAGAAGAGAGGCACTAAGAGGGGTCATTTCCAGATACTGTTACAAATGATCAGAATTGATTGTTATACAGAGTGAGTGTAGATCAGACTATACATTACATGACACCACCATGTAGCATACACACATATGTACTTGGAGGGATTTACACACACACACACACATATTATATACTGTACAAGGACCAACATGCACTGTACTACATCATACACTGTAGACTAAAGTCACTTCAGTTCACATGTATACTTGGGGAACTTAAACACATACATCACTTCATAGTATTATACATACACTGTACAGGACCAGCATACTACACTAGAATACATTGAACACCAAGTATACCATTTATTCCAGCTCAGTTGATGTTGATTTATTTGAACCAATTAAGTTATTACTTTAAACCCACAACACAACAGGGTTCCTAAACCAGATGATAAT